ATGGCTGCCATCTTGGTGGACTCTGAGTCATGTTTTCACTGTGCTTTTTAGAGAATCTACCAGGAAAAGCCCATTCTGTTAGGTTCAGAAGAGTCAGTCTTAAAGAGCCGCAATCATTAGCAGCCCTTTTTGGGAAGGGTAACCCTGTGGATATCTAGAACTTTGGTTGTTTAGCTGATAAACATTAGAGAGGAAGGCCTTCTGGGAAAAGGCCATGGACTAGTGTTCAGGGCAGAAAAGGGGAATGGAAAGAGGATGTGTACCCTCTGGGCACTCAGTAATTGATGTTTTTATACCCTGGCAAGGACATAAAGAAAAATCTGATCTACGCCTAACTTGGCTTGCTGCTGGCTAGGATTATCCTGCTCCCTGCTCGGAAGGACTTCTCTCTCTTGTTTAAAATTAAAAAACATAAAGTACCAATTACATGCAGATCACACTGTATCCGTTCAAATACCTGTAAGACGGGCAGTGAGTCGGTGGTTACCATATACTTTTTCTTAGACACTGAAGACCTGAAGGTAATTGGGGAGTTTCTTTTCTCCTGATGCCTGGCCCTCAATACACATTTCCTGCATTCCTTTAATTACATGACCTGGAGCCACAGCAGAGTATTGAGAAGTGATTTAAAACTCTGTTCGGATGTGTGTGTGTGCGTGCGTGTGTGTACTCCTGTTGCCAGGGGTCAGGTATGTAGGGGGATTGAGAAGGTTCCCTCAAAGAGACCTCCTTCTCTTTCTAGCCTCTGAGTCTCACTCCAATGATCACGGTTCATAAACTGGCTGGTCCATAGCAGCCTCGCTGGACCTTAGATATATGACACCTTGGAATCCCAGAGCAGGTCTGTTGGTTTTAATCACGTTGTGTTCACGGTGGGGGCAGCGGCTTATTCCTCTGATTTTGCTCCTTTTTAGGGGAATGCTGGACTTCCTGGGTTTGTTGGACCTCCAGGAGACCCAGGCCCTCCAGAACCAGTGGTAACGTGGACTTCTCCTTTCATTTATTTTCAACCTTTCTGTAAGAACAAATAAGGATTTGACAAGAGGCATCTCTAAGAAGAAATGAACGTTTCAAATGCACAGTTGGAGCTACATAGGGGGTGGGTCAGATTTGCTTTAGAGGACACTAGCCTCAAGTCCTTACACAGTATGGTACTTATTAAATATAGATATTTTGACTTAATGTGGGGAAGATTTTAGAGTGGCTGGAGATTTATTTATTTTTAAATTTATTGAATTACAGTTGATTTACACTGTTGGGTGGAGATTTATGAATGTCTAAATACACAAAAAACAATTTGTAAAACTCACCAGAGAGTGAGTTTATCCATGTAATCCAGATGCATAACAATAATTATGCAAAAACCAGAAAGAACTCCTAACAAAATCTGACATTTATATAATCTTACCTGAACAGATGATGTTGCAAGCCCACAGAGCTTTCTAAAATTCCCTGGGAGGTACTTGGTCTGAAAGGAAAGTCTCAAGGCTGTTGTTGTTTCACCCCATATCTCGTCCTAAGAGTCTAGGCCATCATTCGTGGAGGATGGGACGGTGAGGCAGCCGGGGGCTGGACCAGGTGGTTTCACTGCAGTTTGGGGTTTACCGGAGGAGTGCAGCTGAAATCTTAAAAGTAGAATAAAAACATCTTAAAAGCAGAAGGACCACTCATGCCCATTTCACAGATGAGGAAACAAAAGCTGAGAAGATTTTAATGAGTGGCTGGAAGTCACAGATGACTACCTTTCAGAGTCCAAATAAGAACAAAAATCTTAAGACTCCCAGAGTGGCTGGGGTCAGGCAGCTCTGTTGTGAAGGCTTGTGCGACACTAGGGAGTAGATAGAGTGGTGGGGGGTGGCCGGAGGAGAAAGGATGGGAGGACTGGGGTCTACCTGAGAGCTGCCTACAAATGGTCCTGGGGTTTTGAATGGTCCCTTCCTGAATTTGTCCCAGACTGTGGCTTGGTCTCTAAATGAATAATCTTCTAGGAGTCTTTATGTACCATCTCCCTGGGCATCCTGCACTCCAGGGTTTGGGACTCATCCCCTACACACTCTGACTCCTTCCTTCAGGAGTCAGACAGAACTCCAGGCCCAGGGGTGATGCAGAAGGTGTTCTGTGTAACACGGTGAACCTTCTCAAACTCTCTTGCCAACTTTTTTTTTAACACCTTTATTGTGGTATGGTTCCTGTACAGTAAACTGCACACATTTCAGATGTACAGTTTGATGAATTTTGATAGATGTATACACCCAAGAAACCACAACCACAATCAAGGTAGCTAACATTTCCATCACTTTCCAAGAGGTGCAATTTTTGAATTCTCAATTTGTCTCTTCCCACCCTCTTTACCTGCTGGTAACCATAAGTTTGATTTCTATGTCCATAAATCTGTTCTTGTTTTGTAGATAAGTTCATTTGTATCTTTTTTTTTTAAGATTCCACATACTAGCTTTATCACATGGCATTTTTCTTTTTCTTTCTGGCTTACTTTACTTGGTATGATGATCTCCATGTCCATCCATGTTGCTACAAATGGCATTATTTTATTCTTTTTTATGGCTGAGTAGTATTTCATTGTATACCACATACCACAGCTTCTTTATCCAGT